ACCAGAGAGTTACTGTGTATAGTCAAGAAAGGGCTGAGAGCTGTTGATGCCTGAGACTCTAGAAACTTGAGAAGCTGCTCACCCCTTCCTATGGAGATTTCTACAAGGATAGGGTTGCGCTCAGAGGCTCATCCTCTCTTCCTTATTCATGGTATCGGGATTCTACCTTAATCACTCCATCATCCTGCCAGCCATGTCTCATTTCTCATACTTGAACGCTCCTTCCTCTCAAGCTCAGCGTGAACCACCAGTCTTGATGCTTTATCTGGTACAGGCTCTAGCCCTTAAATTGTCCGTCTGGCTTTGTGTTTCATTTGACCCTAATACACTGGGTCGCACTGTCTAAAAGAGAATTATGTTCCCTCCGATGTCTGAGTGCATTTCTCATTTCTTACTGCTGCTCCTGAGCAGATCTGTAACTTCAAGGTTAAGATAAGACACATTCCATCAGAACTATGTCGTCATCCTTGCCAGCTTCTGATCTGTGACTGTCCAGGAGATTTATAAGACAGTTGCGTGCCATTCTTTGCAGAATATTATGGTTGGACTCTTGACTCCTGGCATCAGGCCCAATTTGATTTGTCAGCTGTTACAAAACCCATTTCCCAAAGAGAAAGGGACCTTAGCTGTGTGCCCTTTTAGGCAGTTCTTAAAAGAGTGGGAAGGAGGAAATTGATCTGACATTATTTCCGGATGTTTTAGGGAGGGGGTAGACACCAGAATATTTTTGTCCTTCTCCTTGTTGATTTCACTTTTTTTTTTCTGAAAGGTTTTACTAAAATACTAATGTTGCTGTCATTCTTTATCTCTTTGCAGAATTACTGTTAGTCTTTTCATACTGCCATCTCCAATGCTTTTCTGAGTTTTAAGGCGTAAGAATAAGTATTTTACCCTTAAGAGAGAATGTACCTGCTTATTCTCTGAGGCTTTATTAGTTTACCGGTACCTAGTTAACAAAGATACTTTTCCTTCTTTGTTGCCATCTACTAACGTTTTGAGCTGCAGGAGTTAACTTCTTGTGATAGGGTTTAACAGCTTAGGAATTTGGAAGGTCACATATTTCCTGTTGCTGTTGTATTTGGCTCTATATTTTTACAAAAGCTTCTCTTTGGGGGGACTTACCAGCTCTTTGGTCTCTATTTAAACTCACTGTTTCCCTAGGAGGTAGGCAGTGGGGATTTGGCCCATTTTAGTGATTCTGGGGTTAGATCTCAAATTATTTACTCAAGGTCACACATGGCAAGTTAATCACACAGTGAGAACCCTGATCTAATTCCTTTAGCATTGTTTTTATATCCCTTAACTACACAAAGTATTAAAAAATTAGGAAGAGTCCAAAAAGGCAGTTTTACCCAGAGATTTTCTGACAGGTACATTCAAATTTGAGGAAATCTTCTGTGGTTAAAAACTGTCTACTCTCATACCCTGTGATTACTTCTGTTTGATAACCGAAGTAATCACTATTCTCCACCTTTTCTTCAGTTGGGGTCTTTGCTGTTGATTGTCCCTTTTTCTTACTCTCCTATGGCAGCAACCTCTGGCTCTAAAGACCTGAATTGTAAAGCAGAGGAAGGCTTTAGAGCTCTCCAAAATGTTCTTTAGGGCCAGGAGAAAAGAAACTTTATGGGAGTGCAAGTCTCTAAGTAGCTCTTTTCTTTATCTCAATCCTCCTTTTTTCAAGTATTAGGGATTATTGATATATGGAGTTTTAAATTATTTTTTTTTAAAGATTTTATTTATTTATTTGAGAGAGAGAGAATGAGAGATAGAGAGCACGAGAGGGAAGAGGGTCAGAGGGAGAAGCAGACTCCCCGCTGAGCAGGGAGCCCGATGTGGGACTCGATCCCAGGACTCCAGGATCATGACCTGAGCCGAAGGCAGTTGCTTAACCAACTGAGCCACCCAGGCGCCCCTGGAGTTTTAAATTATTATAAATGCTTCGGGTAGGCAGTAGTTACTTAAAAATTTGTTTCATAGCATTACAATAACAACTAATGAAAGTGTTTTTGGTTTTTTTTTTTTAAGATTTTGAGAGAGCAGAGAGCACAAGTGGGGAGGAGGGGGGGAGAGGGGCAGAGGGAGAGGGAGCAGCAGACTTCCCGCTGAGCAGGGAGCCTGATTCCAGGACCCTGAGATAATGACCTGAGCGGAAGGTAGACCCTTAACTGACTGAGTGAGCCACCCAGGCACCCCGAAAAGTGGTTTTAATTCAACAATAATGGTTGTGACTGGACTGCTCTCCCCTCTCTTTTTAAAAAACTACTTAAGGATTACATTTTTTTCTACCTGCAATTTCAGTGGACAGGTTCTTTGGTGGTGCTTCGTGTCTGGATTCTGTTTCAGTATCTAGTAATCCCCCAAAGAAGGAAAGTTGTGTAGTATCTTGAAAGACTTCCCTTACCCCCTTTCCTGCTATCCCCCCATCCCCCAAGCAATTTTAATTAACTGTTCAGTGACAGATGGTAGAAAAGGCCTTGTTTAAAGTGCTTCTGGTGGGCTGGGTTAGGGGTGAGTGGTTTGTACGGATCCTGTTGTAGAAGGACCTGGCTTTCCCCTTCCCCCTTCCAGTTGAGCTATAATCCTGTTAGATCTTAAAATGCTACTGATTAATTCCCAGTGCTCTTAGAGGAATACAGTGTTGGGTTTAAAACCCAAGAACCAATTCCCTTGAGCTCTGAATGCCTTCAGCTTTGAGGCCAAGGGAGTACCTTCCAACTTCTCCACCCAGTCTTCACTGAAAAGGAAAGTTAAGCCTTTTAACTTTTCCGTTTGCCTCTCCGCCCCCCCCCAAGTCTAGTACGGCTGCCAGTTGCCATGGCAACGGGCTGGGACAGCTGCGCAGTGGCTCCCAGGCAGCTGGGTGGGGGCGGGGGAGCTGCCAGCCCGCCAAGCCCCAGACCTGGGAGGGGAGGCCCCTCCTGTTAGCCCAGAGGGAAAGAAAGAACTGGGGCGATCCGGTAGGTAAAGGAGGGAACCCCCATTCATCTTCTACCTTTGGGGCTCCTCTTCTGCATGAAGGTATAAAGGGAGATTTTTCTCTTTCCACCCTCAAACTGAAGAACACATATGTAAATCCTTGTTTTTGCTCGTGAGGCAGGGGAGGCCATAGCCACAATGCTTAACTGCATGCATCTAACCCGGGGCTGGTTTTAACCCCAGCGCTCTGACCTAAACTGCTCAGCTACCGGAAATTCCAAGGTGAGTGGGGGTGGGGGTGGGGTACTCTCCCTGGAATATGACATTTCCTGTCTCTGGTGAGGTCGGAGGCTGTTTTTATTTTAAATAAATAAGATTTTTTTTCTTGAAGCTTAGGACTCTCTTCTAAATTCATGGAAAAATTATTTTGAAACTCTTGTCTACATTTTCCCCCGCTACCTCCTCTTCCGAATAAAGTACTTTAATAAAAACTTAAGTTTTTTTTACAGGGCAGTAATGGGTACAGACAGTTGTTTGGGTGGGCAGACCTATTGCTAATAGGTTCTGGAGATATGGTTTCCAACTAGATGTTCTTGGAATAATTCCTTAAATTTTGCTAACTTGAAGTAAATTGATAAATGCAACTTCTTATGCTACTTGACTTGAACACAATTCTGAGATTAGTAGTGGCCTTCCCTGTTTCTGGGAGTTGTCTTCTAGTCAGGATGGAAATATTTTTAAGAGAGTGCTGAAAAAAATCTTTTAAGATTACAGAAAAATAAAAATGGAGTTCAGCTAAGAAAACAGTTCCTGCTACTCTGTAATCGAGACTGGAGGCACCATTTAACATGGTTACAGAGGAATTCTTTAAAAGTGATTATGGAAACAACAATGTGGGAATTTTAAAAACTAGATTCTGAGTTGAGTACCCCCTAGTTGTGCATATTTCTGAGCTTAACTCAATTTCCATTTGTGTTGCCTTGCTTCAGCTTTCCTTGGTCCTATGAATGGTTCCTCTGTGTTTTGAGGCTTCGTGTTGATGTGAGTTTGGGGCCAGACTTCTTTTTCCTTCTCTTCTTCCTTTGGCCCAAAGTCAACTCCATTTAAGAGAGGTACCTCCTTAACCATTTGGATTAGTTGAGCCATGAGAATTACTGAACAATCCAGTAACTAATTTTTATTTTTTGGACTAAAAAAAAATTTTTTTCTCCCTGCCTCTCTCCCATCCCAAAAAAAAAAAATTTTTTTAGTGTATCTGAGGTGCTAGCCTTGCTTTTGTGAACTGATGGACGCTCTGTAGGGACAAGCTCAGTTTGTTTAAGGGAAAGATATACCAACTCACTGAAGACAGCGGTGAAAGATGCCTGAGCAGGCCTTTTTGTGCTGCTAAGAGACTAGTCAAGATCCTCAGAGCAGAGGAAGGTTACATTTGGGGGCTTTTTTCATTTTTTTTTAATCTTTTTTTTTTTTTAAGATATTTATTTATTTGTTTTTTTGAGATTTTTTTTTTTTGAGAGCACATGAGAGGGGGGAGGGTCAGAGGGAGAAGCAGACTCCCCGCCGAGCAGGGAGCCCGATGCGGGACTCGATCCCCGGACTCCAGGATCATGACCTGAGCCGAAGGCAGTCGCCCAACCAACTGAGCCACCCAGGCGCCCTTGGGGCTTTTTTCATTTTTACGAAGAACCTTATTCACCTTATAGGTAAGGTTTTAATTCTGTCAGTGTTCTTTTAACTGGTAGTTTTCTGCATTTCTTTGAGATCCTGGCTTTTTAACATTCTCAGAAGTACCCAGGAGTAACATACCACACCACTTGTCTTTTGGAATATGAGATTAGAGGAGTTAGACAGTTGTGTATATAATAATGATTTTGGTTTCGTGAGCTGAAGCAAAAGATGTATTTGGGAAAGTAGGGACTGACCATTTTTTTCTTATATTCTTAGGAACCATCTTTAGAATGCTTCAAGACCCAAGAGAAGGGTACATGGCAACTTTGTGTTGTACCCCCTGCATTCCATCAAGAAGAGACATAAGTTTTAACTCCTTGCATGGATTCTGATCATTTTGATCTTCCTCTTTGCAGGAACCGGTGGCCTTAGTCCTTCAGGTGGAACAGCGTGCGACATGGGAAAGAAAACCAAGCGGACAGCTGACAGTTCTTCTTCAGAGGATGAGGAGGAGTATGTCGTGGAGAAGGTGCTAGACAGGCGTGTAGTTAAGGGGCAAGTGGAATATCTACTGAAGTGGAAAGGCTTTTCTGAGTAAGTGCCTTCTTTAGGCCTTAGGACTCTACAGAGGTGCACACTTTTGGTTTCCTTCCTCATGAGCCACTGCCATCTTTGTCTTTTTCTCTCCTCACCTGCACTCCTCCTAAGAGTCAGAAGATGCAGCAATAAACTAAACAGAGTCTCTCCCTTGGAGCTGGTCTTCTAATGATAATGCTTTTGGAGACAGTATAACAAATTGGTTAGGTGCATAGACGTGGATCCAGATTGCTTAGGTCCAGATTTCTTGTTTTTATGAGCTGGGTGACCTTGGTTTAGTTCCTTAATCTTTTTCCTCCTCAATAAAATAGGAATAGGAAATAGTACTTGTCATCGCTTCTCAGCCTTTTGGCTAAGATCAAGTGGAAATAGTACTTGTCATAGAGATGTTGGGTATATGTAGAGTCTGACAGGTAAGCTCAGTGTAAGTATAAACTGTTATTGGGGCACCTGGCTGGCCCAGTTGGTACAGCATGTGACTCTTGATATCTATCTCGGGTTGTAAGTTAGAGCCCCATGTTGGGTGTAGAGATTACTTAAAAATAAAATCTTCTTGGGGCGCCTGGGTGGCTCAGTCATTAAGCATCTGCCTTTGGCTCAGGTCATGATCCCGGGGTCCTGGGATCGAGCCCCGCATCGGGCTCCCTGCTCTGCGGGAAGCCTGCCTCTCCCTCTGCCACTCCTCCTCCTTGTGTTCCCTCTCTTATTGTGTCTCTCTCTGTCAAATAAATAAAAATCTTTAAAAAAATAAAAATAAAATCTTCTTTTAAAAAAGTATAAACAAAAAAAGTTAATATTTTTTGGATATAACTAAGCTAAAATATGTACATTTAAGCAGAAATCATCCATTCCATAGCCCATAGCTTTCCAAAATGATCCTTGGATCTCAAAAGTGACCTAGGGTAAAGGACTCATCTTAATGAGAAACTTAAATCTGAGGCCACATTTTTTCCCTCCTGGTATTTATTTTTTTAATTTCAAATCTACAGCCGAGGCAAAAGAAATTGAGTGAACACTCGGATATACACCATAATCTGTCTGGCTTTTTGTTTTTGTTTTTGTTTTGAAGACCTTTAAAACCCTTTTTTAAAAGTCAATGAGCTTTAAGAATGATACTGAAGTATTGACTAGAATGTCTGTTAGGAAGTCATTGGCTTTAGGCTGAAGTGCTAAAGGTGATTATTCTTTTTCCTTGGAATAGATAGAACTAGACACATTGAAGCACAGAGGAGGTAGCTTGAAAGGTGAAATATGTGTAATCGTTAGACATTTTGCCTCAGTTTTTTTTTTTTTTTAAAGATTTTATTAGAGTTAGCGAAAGCAGGAGCACAAGCGGGGAGAGGGAGAGGGAGAAGCAGGCCTCCCGCAGAGCAGGGAGCCCGATGCGGAGCTCGATCCCAGGACCCTGGGACCATGACCCAAGCCGAAGGCAGACGCTTAACGACTGAGCCACCCAGGCGCCGCTTGCCTCAGTTTTTGATTAATTCTCTTCTCAGGATGCCTGATAACAAAGAATGGATTTTCCAGAACCCCAATGCACTGGTAGGAACGGGTGTAGGCTTCTTGGAGTGGCTGTGGAATAGAAATATAATGCAAGGCACATGGGTAATTTCACATTTCTGGTGGCCATGTTAAAGAAAAGTGAATTTTAATAATTTATCTAATACAGTATATCAAAGTGCTATTTCAACATTAATATGAAAATTAAGATATTTTACATTATTTTTTTCATGCTAAGTCTTAAAAATCTCGTGTATTTTACATTTTATAGCACATCTCAGTTCACACTAGTCACATTTCAAGTGTTCAGTTAGCCACATGTGGCTAGCAGTTAGCACATTGAACATGCCAGTTTTAAAGTGTAGGACTTAGAAAGGTTCAAATTTTGACAGTACCTTTGGACAAAAGTGAATCGGGAGCCTTTGGAACATACTTAAGGTTGTTTCATTACAGAAATTATCGTTTCTCATTTGGAGCACTTTTGGCATTTTAGGTGGGTCAGTGCACGCACTACAGGATGCTTAGCATCTCTAGCACAGAGAGCACTAAATGTGGGTAGCACAGCAATTAGAATATGCCCTCCATATTTCCAAAGAGGAATGGTATCACTGCATCCTTTAGAGATGAGAAATTACGAGGTTGAGAGATCTAGAAATAGGAATTAAAATAACATTGAAAGATTTTAAGGGTGTTTATTGGGCCCTTTTGAATCACCATTGGAAATTGTTGGTCGTTTTGAAGGTACTTGAGACTATATCTGTATTTGAGTTACTGGTAACTTACATAGATTAAAGAGGAAAAGAAAGTTTGAGGTAGGTAAATTAAAGCACTTGCCCTTACTTTCTCGGAAATGCCCAGGATTTCATTAAAGACAGGGACAAATTTTGCCCTGATTGTCTGGAACTAAGTACCTACTGCTTGTTCGGCAGTGGTCAGATTCTTCTACCTCATGTGTTTTCTTTCATTCTTATAACAGCCTTTAGAGGTATTTTCAGTTTACAGATGAGGAAGTTAGTGAAGCTATTTGCCAAAGATAGCGTAACTGGTAAGTGCTGGCAGAAGGACCGAGGATCAGATTTCTTTTTTTTTTTTTTTAAAGATTTTATTTATTTATTTGACAGAGAGACAGCGAGAGAGGGAACACAAGCAGGGGGAGTGGGAGAGGAAGAAGCAGGCTTCCCGCTGAGCAGGGAGCCTGATGCGGGGCTCGATCCCAGAACCCTGGGATCATGACCCAAGCCGAAGGCAGACACTTAATGACTGAGCCACCCAGGTGCCCCTAGTATCAGATTTCTTTGGCCCTAATGCCCAGACTCTTTTTAAATTAGACCATGCTATCTTTTGGGTGAAAATTGGTTGTTGTAGAAGCAGCAATACCAATATGGTAGGAAAAGAGATAATCCCATTATAGGACTGGCTTTCCTTGCTACCAGTAGAGATTCACTCCTCTCTCTCCATGTCTGCTTGCTTGTGTTACAGTATTGGCACACCTCTCACTTTTTGTGTCTTAATATCTTCTGGGATAGAAAACTGTATGGTTTGTGGATTTGGGGGAAAGTTACTGTATGAGGTTTTTTGTTTTTTTGTCTTTTGCCGAAAGAAGAGCTATGAAGGAGAGGCTTTTCTAGTTTTAGCTCAAATGATTTTGAAATAAATCTTGTTTCATTCTCAAGCTGTTTTTGCAGAGTTTTAAATCTAGAGTAAATAACAGTTTTTTCCATTATTCTGCTTATTTGAGTCTAGGTATTATGGTGTGTGTTCAAACCATGCCCATCTTAAAGATACCTTATTTAAAAACCAAAATAAAGTATTTAAAATGGATAGTACATACATTAAATAATTTTTTCTCAAGTCAGTGAAAGGATTGTAGAAACTGTTTCTATGATATATTTTCAGATGTACTTTAGTATAAACTAGTCCTTACTATTTAACCAAAAGAACCTTTGCCACTGGCTAGGAGTGAAGAGGATGCCTGGTTTGGTTTTTCCATGGAGGTATATTTCATGCTTTGATTCCATAAGCTTATGATGTAGTTGGTTGTTTTTCCAAAACCCATGCCAGGAATAGAGAACAACTTTGTGAATAATAACTGTTTGTTTTCCTCATAATAGGACTCCCTTGATTCAAGTTTAATTAGGCTCAATTATTCAGTTTGGGTTTTTTTATTAATATAAAAATGTATTTTGACTACCTAGTAACAATAGACTTGAATCTACAGCATTGAATTAATGTACTCCAAATCCCACTTCTGAGTCTTCTCCTTACTGTTTGCCAGTATTCTGATGATTTAAGCCTTTATACCTTTTTTCATAACAATTACTTCCAGTCTTTCAATAATTTATTGACATTTCTTCAGAATATAAGTAACATGTTTAAGATAACTGGGGATGCAGGGGCGCCTGGGTGGCTCAGTTGGTTAAGCGACTGCCTTCGGCTCAGGTCATGATCCTGGAGTCCCGGGATCGAGTCCCGCATCGGGCTCCCTGCTCGGTGGGGAGTCTGCTTCTCCCTCTGACCCTCTTCCCTCTCGTGCTCTCTGTCTCTCATTCTTTCTCTCTCAAATAAATAAATAAAATCTTTAAAAAAAAAAAGATAACTGGGGATGCATGCTTTGTTACATTATTTTCTCAGGATTTGATTAGATGATTATATATATGGAATCACATTATTTTATAAAGCAGAATTCATATTTTGAGGTTTTTTTTTTAAGATTTTATTTATTTGAGAGAGAGAATGAGTTTTTTTTTTAAAGCACATGGGCGGGGAGGGTCAGAGGGAGAAGCAGACTCCCCGCTGAGCAGGGAGCCCGATGCGGGACTCGATCCAGGGACTCCAGGATCATGACCTGAGCCGAAGGCAGTTGCTTAACCAACTGAGCCACCCAGGCGCCCTATTTTGAGTTTTAAAAAAACTTTATTGAGGTATAATTTACGTACCATAAAATTCATTCATTGAAAGTATACAGTTTAATGAATTTTAGTAAATTCGTAGAGTTGTCAACTATTACCACACTCCAGTTTTAGAATATTTCCATAATTTCCCCAGATTCCCTGGAGCTCATTTGTAGTTAATCCCAATCCTATATTTTGTCTCTAAAGTGTGTCTTTCCTACGTTTCATTTAAATGGAATCAGACAATATGTAGTCTTTTGCATCTGGTTTCTTAGCATATTATTTTTGAGGTTCTTCCATGTTGTGGCATGTATTAATTAGTATTGTGTTCCTTTTGTTGCTGAAAAGTATTTTGTATAGATATATCACATTTATTCATCCATTCACAAGTTGATGGACATTTGAATTGTTTTCTGTCCTTGGTTGTTAAAATGCTGCTGTAAGTAATTGTATGCAAGTTTCTTTGTGGATATATTTTTTCATTTCTCTTGGCTAGATTCCTAGGATCAAATTTGTTATCTCTTTGAAGTGTAGGGTTTTTCTTTTGCCTACTTGTTTTCTTTAAAAGAAAGCGCTGGATTTTTTTCCCCCTCATTCTTTTCCTTTTCTTGTTTTTGTTTTTTTTTCCATTCTTTGTGCCCAGGGAGCACAATACTTGGGAACCCGAGAAAAATTTGGATTGCCCTGAGCTAATTTCTGAGTTTATGAAAAAGTATAAGAAGATGAAGGAGGGTGAAAATAACAAACCCAGGGAGAAGTCAGAAAGTAACAAGAGGAAATCGAATTTCTCGAACAATGCTGATGATATCAAATCCAAAAAAAAGAGAGAGGTAAGCTTCTTTACCCCCTTTTCCCACAAACAATTGTTTTGCCTCCTGCCGCACCCCTCCTACCCCGCAAGCGGTATTTTGGTGGTTTCAGTTCTAAGGATGGCCTGCAAGGTAAATTGTTGAACAAAAGAGCTTCTAAGAGGTATGTTAACTACAGCGCCCCCTCCTGGCTGCGTGAGAAATGTACTATATATTACACTGAATTGTATTAAAGGGGGAAATTAAGTCCCTGTAAAACAGGCAGCTCCCTGTCTTCTCCATAAATAGGCAGCTAAGTTATCTTAGCAAGGGAGGGACTTGGTGACGTTTTTTAAGGGTAGAAAAGGGCTTTAAAACGTTTACTACTTTTTTCCTTTTGTTTCAAAGAGCACTTATTTTCAAACTTATATTCTCTTGCTTTTTTAAATTGATGTGAAATTCACATAACATAAAATTAACCGTTTTATTTTTTACTTTTTATTTTTTTAAAGATAGATTTATTTGAGAGAGCGCGCGCCTGCGTGTTGTTGGGGAGGGGCAGAGGGAGAGGGGAGAGAGAGTCACAGCTCTGTGTTCCCCTGAAAACAGAGCCCAACGTGGGGCTCGATCTCAGGACCCTGAGATCACGACCCAAGTGGAAACCAAGAGTGGGACGCTCAACTGACTGTGCCACCGAGGCGCCCCACAATTAACCATTTTTTCTTTTTTTTTTAAAGATTTTATTTATTTAAGAGAGAGAGAATGAGAGATAGAGAGCACGAGAGGGTAGAGGGTCAGAGGGAGAAGCAGACTCCCTGCTGAGCAGGGAGCCCGATGTGGGACTCGATCCCAGGACTCCAGGATCATGACCTGAGCCAAAGGCAGTCGCTTAACCAACTGAGCCACCCAGGCGCCCCACAATTAACCATTTTAAAGTGTATGTTCAGTGGTATGTGTATTCTTTGATTTTATTATTTCTACGTATTCCAAATAAATTTTCATCTTCTTTTTGAATCTTTTTATTGTTCAGTTTGAAAAGTATGCTTATGAAATTTTGGTTTGACGTAGTTGCTTTAATTCTACTGATCTTTAGTTCTCAAGTAACTAGCATAAACACTGCTCTTGCCTCTCTTTTTTCATCTGTATCTTTTCCGTCTGTGTACTCACACAGACACACACGCTACTCCCCCCCACCCCCAGCTTCCATTCCTTTCATTTATTTCAAGGTTATGAAGCCTTTTGTGGTGAAGGATGTATCATACCCTTAACGTTTAATAAAATAAAAGCATAAGTCCACTTCTGAATCTTCTAGCATCACAGCCATAAGCATCTCTATTTGTTTTCATTCTACTTGATATCCACCTTTCTGGAACATTAGTTCTCAGTCCTGGCTGCACATTAGAGTCATCAGCGTGGGGTGGGGGCTTTAAAAAAAAGACCCTTTACCCAAGATACACCCCAGACTAGTTAAATTCAGATTTCTGTGGGTTGGACCCGAGGCATCAGTATTTTAAAAGACTTAGACAAGTGATAGAGAAAATGGGAGATCAGCGTTCGAAAAAGAATTGAAATAAGAGTGAGAGATTGAAGGCTACAAGTGAAAGTGGACTCTAGGTTTGTGTCTGTCTCCTTATTTGTTTCCCTGATTAATTTTATTTTTTAACAACCTTATTTTTAAAACCACTCTATTCTGGTGAGGTGTGTTTATCATTATGATATAGTTTGCTGATAAGGAATTTGAGAATGCCTTCCCTTCTCGAAGGAGCTAAGACTTGGTTCTTTCTTTTTTATTAGTCCATTGTATTCTGGCTTTTGTCATTTGATTGATTTTCTAACTTAAGAGACCAAAAAACAACACAGCAGAAGACTTGTGACTAGCCATTTGTGACATACAGTGTGTATTTCCCCAACCTAAGGTTTCTGTCCTTTCGAAAAGGAGTAGTCTGGCTTTAGACCTACTGGCCAACATAGAGAGTTTCGTTCCTACGCCAGGTTCTGATGCTGCTGACCTTGAAAACAACCCCCACACGTCCCTTGTAATGTTCATCTGGGGCCCCTGGCAGCATTCTCAGCCATGCTGGTGGCTGTCAGGTAGGTAGCCGGGAAGATAGGTGATTGTATGTTTTAAAGGTACAGGAGGGGATTGCGTTTCTTTCTTTAGACCACTGCAGAAGAAATTTGTTAGTTGGCATTATGCCTGATTTAAGATTACTGCCTGTGTGATGATTTTAGCATTTTCCTCGCCTCGGCTCCTTTTCAGCAGCTTGAACATTTTTCTTCCCTTCCCTCTCTATGTGGCAAACTGTTTTCAGCCGCCAGCTATGATTTACGACTCAGTTCTTGCGCCAGCGTTCCAGCTGTGAGCAGCTGTGTGCACATCTGGGAACCTCCTCCCTTTAAGCGCCCCCAAAAGAGGCTGTGTTTTTGAGTCAGTATCTCCCCTGATCCGTGCATGGAATTTCCTTCCCAGTGTGGGTTCTGGTATCTTTGGGGACCACCTGGATCCTGAATACTTTGTATCTCAGAAAAAAGGGTGAATGTCAGATCAAAGAGAGATTTTATTATGAAAATCAGACATCAGAGATTTAGTTCATTTGGGCAGTCTTACTAAATCTTTTCTATGTTGCCACTAGATAAGTTTGCATTATGTTCCATAATAAGGTCTTTAAAATTACCTGGTTTGTCTAAAATGTCACTGTTTTGCTCTCACCAGTGCCATCACACCCGAATCGGACTTTGTGGTCCTGTCTCAATGGCATGATTGCATTTGACCAAGTTTGAATAATCTCCAAGAAAATTACCAGTTTGTTTTAAGTCACTGTCCAGTTCTGTTCTCTAATTTGCTAACAACTCATCCACATCAGGAGGGGTTAGGCACAGACCAGGGCCTCTTCTCCCAAGTGTGTGGGTATTGCATTACATGAGCTCTGAAAGAAATTTGCTGTTTTATGGTACCGCCTTGAATCATTCTTACCTCTGTTTTTTCATCAATATAGACGACTGTGTGAAAGAAGTGTTAAAAACATTGGTCAAGGTTAAGGTAAATTAAATGTCTAAAAAAAGTTTGGTATATTTGAAGTTTATAAAATGAAAAAAGGTTTAGTTTGGGTAAGCATGGACTTGTTTATCATCTTGGAAGAAACAATTTAGGGGTAGTCAATTCATAATATCAAGGAGATTAGATTAGAGGGTTAGATGAGTGTTTAGATGATGCCTCCAGAATATCTTAAGGGCTGTGAAAGAGTTTTAGGGGCCGCTTCTCATCCTTGAAGGAGTACTGGAAGAACAACTGCATCTTCTTACAAAAATATTTCTTGGCGTCACTGTCACTGGCTGACCCAGTATTGTATTTCTTTAAGTTCTAAGAATCTTTGAATTGGTGACAAATATGGACTTAGATGGTGCTTTGTTGAACTGAGAAACTGGGTTTTTTTTTACTCTTCTCTAAGCTGTAACGTTTCTTTATCTTCTATTTATAGCAGAGCAATGATATCGCTCGGGGCTTTGAGAGAGGACTGGAACCAGAAAAGATCATTGGGGCGACAGATTCCTGTGGCGATTTAATGTTCCTAATGAAATGGTGAGAGAGATTGGGCCTCACTGTACAGTTGTGTTTCTTTGCCAGTGGCTTGAATTTGTATGGAAGATAGGGAAGATGGAGTATTCCCCAACTAAGAATTTTGATTGGCAAGGATCTTTGGCTGATATCACCTGTTAGTATTAATGGAAATTAGGGTTGGGAGTGGATTTAAGACATTCTCAAACTTTGGTATTAAGCCAAATTATTTTAGCACCAATACCTAAGGTAGCTTTGAGGTAGGATACATATAGACATGACCTAACCATTTATTTACACAGTTCTGAATCATTTACCATCAGGCCACGAGCCTGTGGCCATGAGAAAGGACTTGAGTGAGGCTTTCTTCCATCACTGAGGATCAAAAAAACTGAATAATCTCAACAAAAAGCATTAAGACTAATACTAGCAAAGTGTAAGTTACTTCATTCGGTGGAGGGGGTGTCTCTTAGAGGAAAGTGTAGTTACTTCCCTCAGTTTGGTTTCTTAAAGACAGGGTGATTTATGGTGTGGCCCTCACTACCTGTTTCCAAGTGTTCTGGGCTTTTGATTTAAGTTTGGTCTCTAAATAGAGGCTTCGTGCTGCATTGCCACTGAGGAAGCTAATTTACCTTAAAGTTGTAGAATCAAAAGGTTTAATATTTTATCTGATCGAAATTTTGCTGGTAAATTACCCAGAAGCCTAGATTTGAAGAATCATTATACTCTGTCAGAAGTAAGGAGCTGTATTGACTGCTTTTCCCACTCAGCCATATGTGTTACTTATGATTTACATTCATATATTAACTAGCTTTTTTTCCCACCATAGTCCAAATTTGAGTGTCTGATCTGAGCTGTGTGTTTTCCCCTCCTCTCTTCACCCATAATACCTCTATGAATTAAACATCTCAGTTTTCTAGAAAAGGAGGTAGTTGTCTTTGCTCACATCTCAGTGGAATTTTAATTTAAAATATTTTTTTTTTCTCGATTTGGAATACTGGTTAAGGGACTTGATAGATTTTTTGTTATATGTGGTAGTAGAGCGTTTGTAACTTGGGTAATTGAAATTTGCAGCTAATTCCTATATTTCCTTTTAGTGACTAGATTTTACATTCTCTCTTATTCTCCTGTATGTGAGTACTGTTGTGGACTTAAGTTTCTGTTTACTTATTATTCCAAACCATTGTTTTCACCAAAAGGATAATGAGTGTTTAAAAGGCCACAAGATGAGGAAGGTTAAGACCCTTCCACTCAGATGATCCAGAAGCTGGATTGATCATTCTGTGCATAATCAATAGAACTGATTGTAGGTTTGATTGTGTTCACTCAATACACAGAAATCAAAATTATAGGAGCAAAATTTATATTACTTCATTTTCAGCCTTTTGATTAAACCTGCTGTGTTTTCCATCTAAGTTCTAGCTGAAGACTTCTGCTTCTGTCTGATGTAGTAGTTAAATGATACTCACTGATAATTTATTTACTTGAATTTCTCCTTGAAAATATTGAGGTGTTAGGGTCCTTCTCACCTTCAAATCAAGATGGAGAAGAAATCAAGTCAGTTAAATCCATATAACAATACAAACCTTGGTTTAGATAGATTCTCTCTCACTCTTACTTCCTCTCCTTCTAAGTCTCATATTCTTTCTCTCCAGGAAAGACACAGATGAAGCAGACCTGGTTCTTGCAAAAGAAGCTAATGTAAAATGTCCACAGATTGTGATAGCATTTTATGAAGAGAGACTGACGTGGCACGCATATCCTGAAGATGCGGAAAACAAAGAGAAAGAAACAGCAAAGAGCTAAAGGAGGGGGTGGTCTCTGTCATTTCTCTTTGTATATAATACATTCACCTCCCTGCCTCCTCTCCCTTCTGCCCACCCCCTTCTATCCTAAACACATCCATAAAAAATGTGCTTATCACTGTGCTCCACAGGAGAAATGTTGGTATTGGTTCTCTTGTAACATAACTGATGGTCTGATTCATGATAAGTGTCTCTCTGTGAAGACCAGGCATTTACATACTGTGTAATTCCCACAGTTTTTTCCTTTGCCCTGATCTCTTCCTTCTGCTCCCCTGCGACCTCAAGATGCGTTTTAACTTTTTAATCACCTTAGAGTCTTGATCTTTTCAGGGTTGGTTGCTTTTTAGATTGGGGGATTTTGTTATAATGATGATGAATTTTGGTTTCTTGCTTTGGTTCTTAGAACATGTTGATGACCAGCTAGCTTTTGTTTTGAGATGTTGGGATAGAAAAGATGTTCCCGTCTTTTTAAAAAGCCAATAGCAACTGCCTACCTGTTGGGGCTTTCCCAACCTCATTCAGCTCTACCCAGTAGAATACAGGGTTCCTGGTGTGGTCGTCTGGGCCACCCTCTGTTGTTCATCCCCACTCATCCTCCCAGAATAGCTCCATTCCTTGGAGGACTTGAAATGTTACACTCAGATTTGTCAAGGCACTCTTAGCCCCAGGACTTTTGGCCTTGTTTCTTAGCAATCCCTGATTCTGATTCTGCTTCTGCAAGGTGGTGTAGTCTGTCATAAAATGACAAGATTATGAACTGTGGAGATTTTTAGCTATTCGTACATGAGGATGATGGGGTAGGATACAGTTGTCTTTATGATCACCTATGGTATGTATTTTTTCCTTCCATCCCTCACATTTGGACTATATATTTATGTAGGTGTGAGTGACTGCCTGGTGCTTGCTTGTGCCAAGGTGCTAGGCACCCTCCAGCCCTGCCAGCTTTTGTGGCCTCCCAAAGCATTCCTGGTACCAAAGAGGCTTCAGACCTGACCCTCACTTCTCAGTGGACCCAAGTTTCCCCTCCATGCCATTATTTTCTGTGGGGAATTCTTGGAGGGGAGCCATCGGCCACAGTATCAATTTTAAATATTCATAGCGTTTATAGTCATAAATTTCCTGCTTTGTTGACTCAGAGTCCCCAAGGTATTACTACTCTTCCCCTTTTCCACCCTCAAACTCTTCGTTGTATTTTATTTTTAAAAATAGGATTCTGTGGAAGACTATCACCTCAGAGTGACAGCCCCTGGCATTAGCATGTTGACACAACTTTCTGTCCCTGTTCAGAATATTTCCCTTTTGGCTTCCTCCTGCTTTGCCATTATATTGAGAGATGATTATCTGATCTTATCCTTCCATCCTTGTCCCCCCAAGAAATGCCCTACTTCTCTTTAGCCATTTCCTTTTAGTTGCGGGGGGGGGGGTGACTAGAGAATCAAGACTAAAAGTAAGGCAATAGCAGGGTTATGAGCATCTGTGTCCCAGTCCAAAGCTGAGGAATTAAGAATAAGTGCTTGAAATAGCCTTAACTCTAGAGTTCACCAGCCATTGAGGTTGTTTTTATAGTTGCTTTTGATTTTTAAGACATATAGCTTTCTGGCCAGGAGCAGTCCGCCATTTCTAGATTATTCAGAGTAATCAGGGGAATGGATAGATTGCTGCAGTCCACAGATGAGCTGAATAATATGCAAATCATATACCCATTCATAGCATTTGTTACCATTGCTTTCCTGCTCAGCTGCTGATTGAATTCTGTGTGCTTGTATAAATTATGTCAAAAATTATACTGCACAGTTGAGAAGACAGCTGTTGCTGCAGTGACATGACAGACTGGAACAATGAAGCTCTTGGTTTAAGTCATCCAGGAAAATCCTTCTGAATGGTAATGTGATTGGGTGAGAACTCCTAACCCATACCTCAAGTGGGTAGGAGTTTTTAATCTCCATCTTTCTTTACTCTGAAAGAATTCAAGGCCTAGATCAAGTGGTAGATAATTGACGGTTAGTACTTAATCTGATGGGCATCTGAAAGAGAGAATGGATGGTCAGGAAACAGATTTGTCATAAAAGTGGCCAAGGATATAATTAGGGTAGACAAGAATAAGACAGAAGTAGGCCAGAGCCCCTGAGGTGGTGAGCTGGGCCTGTTGATCCGCAGGTGGAGAAAATGACAGCTTATCCATGGAGCCCGTGTGTGTCTCCCAGGAGCAGTGGGCATGTAATAAACTATAGTGACTATTTTCCAGATCAAGATCAACATGTGGACAAAGAACACAACAGAATTAGTTGCTGCTGAGATTGGTCCTGAGAAAGCTGGGGCACGTGTTTGCTGTGGTTATAGGTGATATTTAAGACATTCATCAAAATCTGATTCTTTTAGCAAAGGAAGTACCATCTACCACTCATCAGCTCTTTAATACCTTACTCTTCACTCCATCTTTTCTGTTCACAGTTTATTGAATCATGGTCTTGTACTGAATGCTGCTGCCAGAACAGTTGTTTTCTTCCTGCCTACCCACAGCTGCTTCAGTCGGAATGTAGGGAGCCAGAGCTCGGTTCTGGCTTCAGCCCTCAGCAGAAAGGAAACCGGATGCCTGCCTTGTGTTTCTGGCTTTGTTAGTTCTGAACAGCTATTCTGGCCCTTGCAGAATTGTGACCTCAAATGGAGACCTGTCTTCATGGGGCTTTCTCCTCAGAAGAGTTAGTAGCCATGGGCTAAGCACTCCTAAACATCTAGGTCTCTGGTGCTCAAAGCATATTTTTCCTGTATTTACTTAGTCTTCTTTCAAAACCTCTTTCTAATGCTGAATTTCTTCTAGTTATCAGCAATCAAGGATCTTCCTTTCCATAGGAGGTAGCAGAGTCTTGCCCAGCAGAGTTTACTAGTAGGTCAGTGTAGCTGCTCTTCTGGGCCCTGCACTGGGCCAGTGCCCTCATGTTAGGATTAGCTGTTAGGAACATCAGCCCTGATGGAAGCACCCATTTTTAACCTGGAGAGAACCATGTCATTTTTCCTCCCGCAGTCCAGTTTTTGTCTGCCCAAGGGAGCATTTGAGCCTGTGGTGTTCCTTAATCAAGTCTAGGTGGTCCTTGACTGTCCCCCAGCCATATCTGTGTACTGCTCTTTGTTGGTGATGAAAGGTTAGTCCTGTTCCATAGCTTGGGCAGTTAGGTTATTCTTCACTCGCTTCATTCCTGTTCTGTAGCTACCCTGCAGTCCATTTTCCTTCTCTTCAGGTCAGATCCTAGGGCTTTTGGAAGGTACTTGGGATTTTCATGCGATTTTGTTGGATCTGTGTTTAGTCCAGCTCACCTCAGGTACAGTGAGGGGTCAGAGGGACCTATCTTGTGTCTGGGCTGGAGAGCAATTGTCTTTGCCCTTAGGGTTTGAATGCAAGGGCCTAAAATACTGCTTTCCGATGACATGAGAACACCAGGCAGGGTTAGGTCATTAGATTTGAAATGTGGAGGTTGTTGCTCACAAATGAGATCAAAGGGAAAGCTCATTTTGCATCCATGATTCCATCCTTTTGGTTTAAGGTTTTTAGATTAAAAATTATAGTGTGGAGGTCTGTACCTTTGTAATCAGACTGCCAAGCAAGCATACCTGTGGCAAGGTGGAGAAGAGGAATGGTTTGAATCCAGTATATTCTAGTTTCATGCTGGCTTTATGGCTAATCATAAAAGTTACATTCTCAAAAACGGAGATGTTACCAGCCTTGCACCCAGGAGTATATGATATGCTCAGAATTCAGTGTCCCCACCCAATTAATAGTGTGTGGATTTGTATTGAGCTGTCCATATTCTGGCCACCTTAGTGTTCATCAACATTCATTTTATTCCACAAGCACTTTTTTGGCCTTGGGGGTACAAAGTTCAAGAAGATACAGTCCCTGACCACAAAGAACTTTCATTCTGATGTGGGATGAACTGACTGTTAATAGTTCAGTGAAATAAATGCTACAAATGGGTACACATTTTTTATTTGGGGACAGTAGGAGGGTGACAGTTCATAGGGGGATAGACCTGGACCTTGGATGAACTGAGCTAACTGGCTATAGATGGACTATAACAAGGGCTTGTTTTATTCCAGAAAATAAGGATAACTGAAGGTTGGTTAGCAGTGCTGTTGCTGAGAGAAAATAACAGGTGAGTGGGGATTGAGAGCCCCTCGTTTTGATCCCTGTTATGGGCTCTTTGCTAAAGTATTTAATGGTCTAGTTAATACTTGCCTGTGGAAAGTATTATCTATGTTGCAGATCCAGTTCTGTGGTGTTACATTATTGTGGGTTCTGTAACATTTATTCCTCATGGACATTGTATCAGAGTTGCTCACACGTTTTTGTTTCTCATCCCTTTTGGAAGAATTAACGTGAGGTTGGCTTTAAGCCTAAAACAAGGACATACTTTTCAATGACAAGGGATTTGCTAAAGGCTTAGGGGCATATCTCTTAACTCATGAGCATCTACTCTGTGCAGTGTAGTTTTATTCAACACTGCAAGGTGGTGATTTCTAAGCAGATGTGTGTCAATTATGTGGAAACCTCTCCGGGAAGTGCACATACCCTGGCATTTCAGATTTAATCAATCTAGGGAAGTCTAGAGTGAGGCCTAGCCCTGCTAAGAAACAGTCTGACTTGAAGAAGTTTCTTAATTCTGAACTGTGTAACCATAAGAAAAAGATACTTTTCTCTCTCTGGATCATTGAGAGTTGACTAACTTTGGAAGTGAGAATTCCCAGGAATGAAGAGTAACTGTTCTGGAAGATTAAAATGTGAAGGTTCTTTGGATAGCTTCATTAAAACAATTCTAATTTCTTTGTGCTTGCGCTGGATTTCTTGAATTTTAAACTACCTCATCTTGTCTTTTTAGAGTTACTTCAGCTTGTCCTTGCCACTCTAACATCATGCTTGACTTTGGTTGTTTTCTGACATGGAATTTTTTCTATGCCTTGACAGCATGTTCTTTTGCCTTTTCATCCGGATCCTCATTTCATCATCTCATATTGTTCTTCTGTCAGAGAAATATTTTAAAATAGTTTAAAATCTTGGCTTATGGGAAGAAAGTGATCCTTCAATGCTGTTTGTCTCTGGGATCAGTAAGAGTTAAAACAAGGTGGTGGGAGGAGGGGACAGAAGCTGCACTGGAGGCAGCTGAGGAGGGAAGAGCCATTAATTAAGACAATTTCAAAGTCAACTGATTGTGATCATTAATGTCACAATAGATCAAAACCTAATTATCACAGCCTAGGTAAGGGCCATCAGTATTAATCGGAAAATCTAATAGGAAACTATTATCAAGAAATTAGGCTAAATTGAATGCAATGAACTTTTTATCTTGCCATTCTGTTTGTGTGTGTGTGTGTGTGAGATGTCCCCTGGCATTGGCAGGTGTGACCCTCACAGTTGATCTAGGTGCCAGTGGCCAGTTCATCACACTTTCTGAGGAATTCCAACAGATTGAACCTGAACTGTCATTGTCATTTTAATGTTTTGAACATTATCATCACCTGGACTTTTCCAGTGTGACCAGCAATCAATGAAAAAAGGTTAATATTTAGGTCTTGGGATGGTTGGTCCTTCCTGGAATGAGCGTATCCCTGGTGGACATTATACTGTGTGTGTTGGCAAATCATTCTTTGAGCTTCAGATGTATGTAGAGTCCTGCTGCTCTGGCTCTTTTGAGGGGGTACAGAGGAAAAGAGGGGCTTCCCGCCTGGAGATTCTTCAAGGAGACCCGAGAAGATAAGAATTTAATTGTGTCACAGAGCTTTTAAAGCTCAAGTCAGTGTTTTGCAGTTTCCAGTAGCTTTAGGATTTAATTCTAAGCTAGGGCTAACTGTGGATTTAGTATTTTTTCCCCTAGTTTTAGGATAAGGATCATAATGATTACTACCAGAATCCAGTTGTAAGTTTGGGGGGTGGGGGGGAGAAGGTGTTTTTTCTTTTACGCTTTCATCCAAGAGTTATGCCCCTGTTGGGATATTAAAGAATATTACAAGAGTCTTACAACTAGTTCTAGGGAACACTTCATCCCCTCTCTCTGAATGGAAGACTAGGGGTCACCATTTATATCCTTAATCTCGAGAGCCATTTATGAAGATCTTGCCAACTCCTGGAGTTGGGCTGGTGCAGAAAGTTTGGGAAGATGCTGCCTTGTGGGCATTGAGGGGAGGGACAGGCGGCAGGAGGAGGGTGTCTGGTGGCGGGATCCCGCTGCCCGGCTTAGCCTGGAGAGAGTGCTGTAGCCACTGCTGTTGCTAGCCTTGCACCCCTCCCCCGACCTTGCAGCTCAGAGCACTACCAAGACCACTGCTGGGGACAAGGTTCTTGCTCGAATGAGGTCTTGTTCTTGGATTTTAGGATTTAGGAATAGGGGTTACTCAGTATAGAACTTGGGAAAATCAGTGTGACTTATTACTCCCTCACCTCTTAATGGTGAAGTGAGTATTTCTTTACAAAAGAATTCATGCCCTGAATGCTTAAAATGTAATTTTATTTGCAAAACATCAGTTAACACATGATTTTCAGAAGCAGTCTGTGTCTCCAAGGTTCCTCACGTTATGCCAGATAAATAATAGGCCCTCTGTTAATACTTGTGGGTTGGTTGAGTTCATCTAGTTTGCAGAGTGAAGTGTACCTGCTGACTTCCTTTTGCTTGCACATGCACTCTAAGAAGTAAGATGCCCTAGGGAGTGAAACAAGAATTGAGTGGATGCTGACTATGTGTGCCAACCTCCTCAACTGATTCATAATGGCTGACCTTGGGCAAGTCACTCCTTTCAATGCCTCAGTTCCCCATCTGTCAAATGGGGTTAATGATACTGACCTACCTCACAGGGGTGTTGTGAGGCATTGTAAATCAAAGTTGGTAGAATACTTTAGGGTCCTCAATGGAGGATGCCTTGAGCCGAAGTCTAAAGTCTAGACCTGACCTAGGCTTTAGTCCTCACTGAGCTGTCCCAAGGTTTGGAACTACTAGTGACCTCGGCAAGTTCTCTGCCCCCCACCCCTCATCAAAGCTGCTAGTTCAGGTGTTGACAGTGTTTTTGTGAATGTTGGAGTCTTAATAGTCCAGACATAGGATGTTCTGGGGGAAGGCACTTAGTATTTTCTATGTCTTGCATCCACAAAGAGAGGCTGTTTCAGACCCAAGAGCATTGGATTCGGGAACTATGAGGCAGGGATGCTACTGCTTGTTTCTCTCTGCGGGTTGGGAATTAAGGCCCCATTCCCCATGGGATTGGAACAGACTTCAGCTGTCTCAGGAGCAAAGGAACACAGTGGGCTTAATTTATATCGTTGGTTTTATCGAGTTTCCCCCCCCCACCCCGAACTGAGTCACTGCACCCCTTGCCTCCCCATAGGAATCAGCTGGTTCAATAAACATAACCACTTTCTCCATCCCCTACCAGAAAAGAGCCACTTTGGGAAATTTTTTTCTAGAGATAGGTTTAACACTCTTAAGGCTTCATCCAACTTAACTGTACTCATTCGTCATCTTTTTCTCAGTGTCCATAGTCTGAACTTGACTTTGACCTGTTTTTCCTCCGGTTTGGGAAAAGTTTGGGCACTATTTCTATTTGCCCAGATGTGGGCTCAGCCAGCTCCTCTTCCCAACAGGGCTCTTCTTCCTTTCCCTCTCCTTGGCCCTAGACGTGTAACCCATGGAAAAGCACAAGGTCCTGGCCCCTTGCTGTGGTCACATTCCCGGTTCTCCGTGCTTTGTGGACTTGCTCTGTTCCCCCAGCTCTGGCGGCACCTGGTAGTTCTGTGGAGTTCTGGAGGATGGAGAGAGCACAGTCTGACCTCCTGACAAGTAGCCAGGAGTTGATTTACCCATGGCCCAGCAGCCTTGGCACCCTTTCCCACAGGATGGGATGTGAGAGACTCTGAGAGGCTGGGCTTCTTTCTGCACTCTGTCCCATCCTGAGTAGCAAAACACATCATGCTTGGTAGCCAGATTTCTAAGTGGAAAAATGGGAAATTGAATTCTCTGTGGACCTTTTTGGTTTGTGGGGGAGTTTTGGTTGTGTTCCTTGGTTTTAGTTCAGCCAAACATGTCGGCTTTTCTTTTTTTTATTTTTTTAGGATAAGTGATATATATATATGTTCGCCTTTTAAATGTAAATGTTTAAAAGTAGGCAATTTATGTGTTTTTTTAACTGACATTGATGCAGACCTCATTCTCTCCCCCTCTTCCACCCTCCTCTTTTCCCTCTTTTCATACTCTTGTATTGGTTCTAATAAATGGTTGCTTTTCAAATACGGATCCTGAGTGGTGGTTTGAAGATCTGGGTCTGACACCCTTCCTTAATTTGGTCCCTGGAATGTCAGCCAGTTGTCATACATGCCTTTCTGGAAGAGCAGCGAGACTTCCAGAACAAGGGCTGTCTTCTTTTTTGTGTGTGAAGATTTTATTTATTTGACAGAGACACAGCGAGAGAGGGAACACAAGCATGGGGAGTGGGAGAGGGAGAAGCAGGCCTCCCGCCGAGCAGGGAGCCCGATGCGGGGCTCGATCCCAGCACTCTGGGATCATGACCTGAGCTGAAGGCGGATGCTTAACGACTGAGCCACCCCGGCGCCCCAACAAGGGCTTTCTTCTAACAGTTGCTGGTCTCTGACTTGCCACAGGGTGGCGCAAGCCTGAGAGTAAGAGACTGTATCCCATTCCTACTCTATTCCCTTAACCTGTTCAGACTGTGCCTTCCTGGTCTCTGCACTCATCTCTGCTGCCAGTGGCTCAGAGAATAAATATTAGCCTTCAGCAACCCAGGGACCTCAGAAGAGTCAGCTCCTGGTTATTAGAATTTGTGGAAAACCGCATTGACAATCTAAGGCTTGAAAATCCCAGTATATGTGAGCTTGCAAATACAGCTATTTTATTATTTTTTCTGATTTGCTTCTCAAATACCAAAGAAACTATTTCTCTGATGATCTGTTGATTGTGGGTCAGGAACATGGTGTGTCTCTGTGGGCTGGGCAGGGGGAGCAATTGGAAGTTGGATTAAGAAAATATGTAAATAATTTATTAATTAATAAAAGCCTGGTGCAGTTTTGAATCTAATGGACACAGACAGAAACTCACAGAAGAGCAATGAGGAAGGCAGAGGGGTCTCAGAACCCAGACCTCCTCCCACTGAGAGCACCGCTGAAGGCTGAGCCCTCTTTCCCACTCTCTTATCTGCAATTCTCCCCTCTTGTTTTCCCTTCCTGCTGCTGAGTTATAGGGTCTCCCCAGTCTAATCTCGTAAAGTCTTATGAAGACATCTGTAGGTTGGCTGGTTTAATGGTCCGTGACCCCATAAACATGGGACAGGAGAGCCATTTGGTCCACTTCAGAGCCAGCCCCTTCTGGACATTATTTATTTCCCACCTCTGAAGCCTGGGACTTCTTGTCCCCTTCCCTTCCCTTTCCTAGTTCTCTCACCCTCACGCCACGTTGTTTCTGCCTAGGGCCTGCGCAAGGCGCAGCTCTGGGGTTTTGACACCCGCACTTCCACTCCTAAACAACTGTGTCTTGGTTTTTGTTTCCCTCCAGTGTGTCAGGGGGTACGCCTGCATGGCACTCATTCAGATGAGCTCATCATCGCTCATAACCCTTCTCCCAGGAATGTTGCCTCTCAGTGTGCTGGACAAGTCAGGAGCTGGGCTGTTTTGTCTCCCCTTTTGTCTCCACTAAAGGGCTGCAGAGCTGGTGAGATCGATGCAGCACTGACAGCCTGGGGAAAATGGAGGACTGAGTGCAGGGGTCTGTGCTTAGGTGGGCTGCCGGGTGCATGCGCTCTGTTGGAGGAAGCGGCCCCCCAGGCAGCCTCCACCCTTGGAAGGAAGCGGAAGCCCGGGTGGTGAGGGCTACTGCCCATGAGTGCATGCAGAGAGAAGCCCGTTAACAGCCTGCGGACACGCCAAGCTGCTCCCCGAGCCTTGAGGGTAACCTGCGGAGGGGCGTGGGGGCAAGCAAGGCAAAAGCTGGGAGCCTGCCACACGGGTCCTGGGGGGGGCTCTTAACTCCAGCAGGGATGGGGGAGGTAACGACTGAGGAATCTCATGAGTCCTTTCACTCAAAACCCTCCTGCTTGAAGTCAGGGACAGGCTGAAGGCACGGGAGGGGAAAGAGTCTGGTCCTGGGCTCTGGCTCGTCGCCTTTGTTTCCTCCCGGGCCTGTGCTCTCCTGCTTCCTCTACCCCCTCTGCAGCTGTAACATCTTGCTTTCCAGGTGCCTGCTCCCTCCTCTCTCAGCTTCTGTCTTTATTTGTATTTTTTATGGTTTCTCCCCTTTGTCTACTGTATCGTATGTGTTTTTCTCTTTCTTTGTCTTTTTTCTTCTCATTTCTGGTCTCTCCACCCCATGTTTTCTCCACCCCCTTTAAATTTCATAAGCAGCCTCAATTTGGACATTTAATTTCAACCCCATCAAATTATTATCTTTCTTGCAACAATCTGGGACTCTTTACGAGCTCTTTCTACCCCAGGCCACCTCTGGAAACAGGTGCATCTCTTTCTGTGTATAATGTGATGCTCCCTTCCAGATGGGGAAAGGCGATGCCTCATGCCTTTTCTCAGCAAAGCCTTGTGTGATCATTTGGTTATGAGCCAGGGAGAGAGGAAGAGAGGCTGAGAATTGCGCTGGCTGATAAATCTGGGGGCTGCTGAGATGAAAAGGTTTGGGGTTATCATTTGTACCCCTTCCTTTCCTCCCCCTTCCTGCTACTGCTGTCTTCTGGGAATGAAGCTGGCGGTGAGCTGAGGGATGGGCCCCAGCTGCTGCAGGCTGCAGTGAGGAAATTCTGCTTCTATGCCTGCAGCAAGGGTGGGGTTGGGAGCAGGTGAGATCTGCGGTGCGGGGGAGGAGGGCAGGTGAATGGAAGCCCTTGCCTGCGCTGCTAATGCACAGGATGGACCATACCTTCCTGCTATTTCCAACACCATGCAGCACCTCCCTGCTGCCTGTTCCCCGACTCCCCTGCCCCCGCTGGAACCCTCTGCTGCCTTATGTTTCAACTCCCAGAGACCGGGGCATGACTCTGCCCCTTTGTCCTATCACGCACCCCCCTCATCTAGTACCCCCCTCCTCTAGTTCCTGCCTCCCCGTTCCAGGCTTATTTGCATGAGGAGCTGGGAGGTAGAGGGCTCAGAGCCACCAGGATGCTCCCAGCCCGGGACAAGGCTGGCCTACCGGTTTCTCACAAGTGCTGCCGAGGATGGGGAAAATCCTGCTTTGAGACCAGGACACAGAGGATGCTCCCTCTTTCCATCTTTTCTCTGCCCTTCCTGCCTCTCCCTTTTTCTCCTGTTCATTCTCAGTTCCTTTTCCCCCTTTTTTCCTCTCTGTTTTATTTCCATGTTTCTAGGAACAGACTGCTAATAAGAGGGCTCACGGGAAGGAATTGAGAGGGAAAGAAAAGTACAGTGTTTTTCCTCCTCCCCTTTCTCCTCTTGGGGAATTGGAGCATCTCTCCATCCTTAGCCCTCCTGATTGTCTCAGCAATGGTGTCTACAACAGGGACTCTTAACCTTGAAAAACAGCTTCTATTTTTAATTGAGTACTTCATGATTTTGTATATGAGAGAGACCCTTGTCATCCCCACAAACGCAGAGTCAGTTCTCTGGTATTTTTCTGGTAAAAATTTTAAGATTATCACTTTTGATAATTTTATAACCCTCCTTGAGGTGATTGGAGTCTGGGGTGTTGCTGTTTAGCTAAACCAATTGCATCCTTATTTCTGTCTGAATTTGTTGCTCCCTTCCAGCATAGGAATAAAAACTTCCTTCTCTGGGCGGAGGGGTGTCTTCTTGCTCCATTCATCAACCTAAGGGATCATGGGGCAGGTAGAAACCATTTCCCTGATTCCCTCCACCCCTAGAAGGCAGGCTCAGCCTGCTGATAGAGGGAGGTGAGGAACAGTGGTTGGGTGTATTGTCCCCACCTTGCTTTTTTCACTCAAAGTGGAGAAGAGGGTTTCCACTTTGGATTAAGGAGCTGGGTCTGGTGTGGCTAGGGACGACATTGCTTGGATAGAGGACGTGGAAGAGAGAGAGGGAGGTACAAGGTTATCCCTGTGAGAAACTGGGAGAATGGAATGAAATGAGGAAGGTTGGGAGATGAGAGGCTTGGAAAAATCAGATGCTGTGCAGGGGATGTGTGTGTGCCCAAGCCCAGATGTGAGCGCTGTGGAAGCTCACAGAGGGGCCTGTGAGGCCCTCCAAGATGCCTCGGCTGCAGGCACAATGTCTTCACCCAGACACAGACAGCTGGCGCTTCACTTCTGAAGAGCTCTGGGCAGTCAATCAACTTAGCATTTACCCTCATGTGTTCTGAGTTAGAAGTCTTTGCTCTGAACTGGATGAGCGCCCTGAAAATCTAAAATACATTTTTGATTACTTAAGGAGGCCCTCCACAGCATCCTGAATGGCTTCAATTTCTACCCTGGCGTGGTGGGGGAGGGCCTAGAATCCTCATGTTTTCCTCCCTCAATCCCCAATCCTGCTTCAGGTGGTCTCAGGAAGTGTAGGGGGAGGGGGGGGGATTGGGGGTTGGCAGTACAGGTGTCTCAGTGGCTGCAGAGGGGATGCCCTCATGTGCATTAGAGATTCCTCACAACTGACTAGCTGTTGCTGTCACCAACAGGACGGGGAGACAAACAGCTCCCCCTTCCTCCCAAAGAAATGGCAGGTTTGTGTGTATATGAGAATTCGGAAATAACTCTCAATATACGTTTGTGCTGATATGAATCTATTAAACCCACTGAGTCCAAGTTGAGTTTAATAGGGGAAGGAATGGTCTAGGTAATTCAAGGTAGCAGATAATCCTCAAATCATTTATGAATATGATTGAAAGGTGCTTTGGATTGCACACAGGTTTTGGAAGGTGCTTTGTGGGCTTCTTTGGGCCAAGAGGAAGAAGTCGTTAATAGAGGCAAACAAAAGCTGTTCTTAGCTCTGCACCAGGACAGCCATACAGATCAGAAGCAGAAAATTGCAGGCAGTGTGTCTGTTCAGGTGGAAAGACAGGGAGGCCAGAGAGGGCCTCAGGGGCAGCATGCTATTGGAAGGCCAGTCAGCATGTTGGAAGGCCAAAGGCACAAAGAATGGCAGGATGAAGTGTGGATTGAGAGAGGTTAGGAAGCAATAGAAGCTCACAAATGACCTCACTCTATATATAGCAAAAGCACCAGCCCAGAACAGCCCTGGTACTGGGGGAAGAAAATCATTCGGTGAAAGTTCAAGTCAGGCTTTGTCATTCACAGCCTGTCAGTCAGGCTGTGT